AAAACCTCTGGGCCATACTCGACCGGCAAGTCAAGAAACAACTAACTTCGAAGAGCGATTGACTCCAAGTTTTGAAGCAAGAGTGGGCAAAAATCCCACAATCTAAAATTGACAAGATGATTCTCATGATGCCCCAAAGTTTCAACGAACTCCACAAAGCGAAAGGAAGATCTACTAGATATTAATTAAATTATAAATATATCGATTCATGTGAATATGACTGAAAAATTTCATTTTTTCTGAAAAGGTGGTGTCTACTTCTGACCACGCTGTGTACATATCACACAGGTCAAGTAATATACTATGGTATTAAAGACCCCATACAGAAAACAGAAAGAAAAAAATGACATAGCAAGGATAGATATTGATCACAAGTTAAAACATAGACTACATAAAAAAAGACATGCAGATAACTATTTTGCAGTATCTCACAGATGAATCTGAATAACCATCTGAAAGGTAAAAAGGACATTTTTCTCAAAAAGACTTTGGATAAAGTAAGTCGCATACAACTAAAACTCACACATATTTATTTTTTGTAACAACTTAATCTTCATTTTAAACAACCCATGATACACAGCTTTCATTTACAGTAGTTCTTATACTAAACATTGTTGAACCACAAATTCACACAAAAAAACATTTGCTCTTTAGAATAAGAATAGATTCTTATCTGTTTACTTTATGTAAGATGCAAGAAACTACTGTACTGGGCTTAAAAAGAACTGAAGAAGCTTGTTAATACTGATAACAGTTCATTTTGATTCATACAACAGAATTTCTGATACCAACCTTCTAGCTGTTCCAGCCTATGCAGTGACCTGTACATAGACCTATACCAGTCACTATTATACTGATCCTGTACTTCCTGCAATAAACAAATTATACTTCCATTACAGTTTCCCCACAAAGAATTATTTCACCTCACAGAGCATGTCCTGTTAGCTAAGACTACCAGTAAATTAAAACTAGTTTTTTAAACCACAAGTTAATAGCTGCTTACATTTAAAAAACAATATTAGAAAGAAAAAAAGCTATTTGTACACAATTTTCAAACTTTCTTAATCTAAACAAATGTAGATCCTGCCAACATACAAAAGTTGTTCCACAGATAAATGTTGAAACTCACCCAGTAATTTAGCTTTCTATCCTAGGCAGACATGAAATAACACATTTTCATGTTAAATAAGTGAAGTTTACTTCACGATCAATACATTAATCCTCAGTTAAAGTGAGCTTTCAAAAGATATAACTTACAAACTTTAATACTTTTACATTACTTTATAAATAAACTTTTATATAATTTCTTTTGTATACAGTTAAGCTGGACTGATAAAGATTTGATGAAATCATTAAAAAAGAAAAGTCATGGATATGAAGGCAGGCTATGCTTCAAAAACGTTTCTTGAAAAGTTATTAGATGAAGGCAGGCTGTGCTTCAAAAACATTTCTTGAAAAATACTGTACAATACATAGTGTACAACTTTCTCAGTAGAAAATTAATAGGTAATACAAGGATAATTTGTTTTATTTAAGGCTAATCAATAAATATGGCCAAAAAATCTGTTAACTGTTTTTCTTTAAATATCACTAAAGCATTAATGAAAGTGTTTATGGTTTAAGAAAGTAGTGTTAATATTCTTTATAAATAAAATACAAAGACTATGCTACAGTGTGTTTTTTTTTACTTTACAAATTTTAAACTAGACCTACTGTATGGTAGATAAAAACTAATTCCAAATATTGATAGTATTTCCATTTTATTTTCATACATTTCAGTTTTGTTTGTTTGTTTGTGTGTGTGTGTGTGTGTGTATACTTTCATTTCTTGGAGGAATTGGCTGAATAGGACTTTGAAGATTCAAACATGAATTTAATTTGAATTAAAGATAAAAAAAAATGTAAAACAAATATAACTACCATGTCCCTATCTAACTACTATAAAGTTAGGTGTACGTACCAATTGAAGACCATCAGGAATGCCTTTGTCTTGTAGCCAGGAACTATAATACTTTGATGGTATCTTCTCACCCATCAAGTTTAAATCTGACACTGTGTTTATATAGTATTTGTTTCTGGGGCTTTTTTCTGCAACAAGCACCAATTCATTAAGTAAATATTCTAAATGAGACAAAAAATAAGCTTATTTTATAGACTAAAACATAAAAACTAAATGAAATAAAGAATATAATTACAGTGTTTGCAAATATGTAATCATTAGTTTATATATCTCCTATGTAGAAAATTGTTGAATTTCTCCAAGTACTGGCTTGGAACATCCTAAACGTGGTTAAGGTCATGTGTTAGATTCAGCTTGAGGTGCTGCTTTTTGTAGTTAGGCTGATAGTTGTATTATGTCTTACCTGACCTTGTATATGGAGATACCTTGCAACTGTCACATGGAGTAGAGATATTTTCACATTCTGATGCCCATTTTCTGACCGGTTAGCTTAAGAACAAATGTTTTGATATTTTCAGATTAGATTCACTTTAAGTTCTAAGGAAAACAGTTTTTTCTCAGAAAAAGCCTAAGCTTGTTGTAGAAGTCCTGTCTTTGTTTTACTGCATTCTTCAACTTGCTGAGCACAAGTTACTGCTATATTTAATTCTCCCCCATCAATTTATTTCACCAAAGTTTGCTTCCAGCTGCTGATAAGTTGAGCTATATGAAAGTACAGCTAAAACTACTTTAACAATTGAGAGGGCTTGTATGAATTTTGCATTATACCATTTGTTCTCTGTAATGAACCAACTACTTTTGAGTGGTTGATTGAACTCATTACTTACAATGGGAGCAGGTTTTATTTCATACCAATGATATTAGTATTTGGTCACACTTCCAGACCCAGTTGAATATCTAATAGTGGTTTTTCAATGTTTGTTAAGCATGTTTGAAACTGAAACCATAGAACTGTTCTCTCATGTGGCTAAATGTAATTTTTCAGACACATGAGTAAGGATGAGCAGTAATAGACTGGACTGTATACTTGCATCTGCTGAAACATTTCTGTATGATAACGAAAGAACTACTTTTGCCATGATTTATAAAGCTTGAATTTTCCAGCTAAATAGATCACATATCATTAAAATGAATGATGAAATTTGTAGAAATGAAAAATATGTGCACATACTGGATCACAATACTACACGTGTACATTTTCCTTTTACAATGAAAAATAAGCCTGTAGTATGAAAATGCAGATGGACTCCCTTGGTGGTAGGTGAGAACTTTTCCACTGACATATTGTCTGGATGCTGAACACTGCTGTGAAACCTAAAGTCTCAGCTGTGACATTGAACCAAGAAAGTAGTGTGAAATCTGTTGATGAATAGATGCCACATGTGGTGATAAAACACGTTGCAAGAAGAACAGCTAAGGATCTGGACCTAGCATGGGCCCTCTTTGCCATGCAGAAAAGCAAAGCACGATCCTCAGAGACCCAGTGAAGAACAAAATATCATATACAACATCCCTTGTAAATGTATACTTCAATACACTGGAGAAAAAAATATTAGAATGAAGATGCATAATAGACCTACATGACTAACACCAACTTATCTGTAATATCCAATGATGCAAGAAAAAAAAAGATCATTTGATAAAATAGAATAGTACTAAGATAATGGAATTTGAACAACATGTAAGAAGAAAAAAAAAGCACATATGTCTGCAAAACATAGATATCATTCTTGAAAGAATTCAAACAACTTAGTTGGCTCAAGTTCTAATGGAAGATACTCCAGACAATGGGATAACACACAAGTCTCTCCAGCAAACAAAAACCAGGATTAAATCCCGGCCACTACCACTACAGAACTAGTCCTTCTGAGGACTACCATGAGTACAGCAGCAGATTAGCTAATTAGTTAATAATTAGTACCAGGTGTTAATATGAAAAAATAATAGTAACTAATATTAAGGTGATTGTATGCACTCCCCATAACAGAGAATAACTGTTATAATACTGGCTCATATTGTGACTTATGTGAAAGAGATAGAAGTACTTTTATAATATTAGCTGATTTTTATTTCTCATGTAAATGAGGTATAAATACTATTACAATATTAGCTGATTCTATTTGTTATGTAAATAAGGTAGAATGACTGTTATAATAACAGCTGAGTTTTGTTTAAAGACATTTTTTTCCATCATGCTGCAAACAGTCAGAAAGCTTATAATATCTCAGCCATATATAACAAATATCAAAGTTGAAAATGCTTGGTCTATTCAATCTGTGGAATACCAGAAGTTCAGAAAGATTACTGAATGAAACAATAGTTATAATAGTGGCTGGTTTTGTATGCTGTGTGATTCACTGTAATAATATATTTGCTGATTTTTTTATGTCACTTATGTGAATGTACATATACTCTTATACCATTAGCTATTTTGTTTTTATGTCGATAAAGAAGAGATCCTGTTGTAACACAAGCTGGTTTTGTTATATTAAGAAGAAAGAAATACTATTTTAATCTTGCTCATTTTATTATTAAGTGAATGAAAAAGAAGTAGCATGAAAATATTAGCTTATGTTTATGTAAATAAGTCAGAAATACATTTCTGAAACTCGTGGGAATGTTTTATGGGCTACTTTTAATTTAATGAGTTGTTATGGTTGCACAGCAATTTAAAGGGCTGGTTAAAAATCCTAAATAATGTATTTTGTTAGAAATTGGCCAACTTTCAAATGTACAACTTTGATAATCTGAAGTTAACTCAATAAAAGTTTTAATTTTAATAGTACATACAATATACCAAATTTTGTTAATGTACATTATATACTATCAAACAGGATTTAATAGAGCATTGGAAACTCAAATGTATTTGAAAATACATTTTTACTATTTTTAAGCTGTTTAAGACCCTCTTTTTATTTTGTATAAAATACTTTGTATTATGAAATAATAATTATTTCAAATAGAAGGTTTTCAACTCATGCACCTTATTAAGAGCAGAAGAACAAGTATATAATCAATGTAACCATTTACAATTTCATTAGAGACTATGTGATGGTAATGTGAAATCTCAGATGTAGGCATGAAACAGTAAGAGAATACACCTGCACTTTTGATTTCTTCCATAGAATTATCTTTTTCTAAAATACTCCTGCTTTGTTTTTTTTACACGAGTTTAAACTATAGTTATACATCATACCTTTCAAATGATCTGGTTTTGAATCAATGTATGATGGTCCTTTAGGCAGTTGGCCTTCTGAAACCACAACAACAATCATCAAATTTTACAAATAATAATCTATTAACATGTTAGTTAAAATAATATTAAGTTTAACAAAATTTTTAAACTGATTTAATACATAAAGTAAGAATGAATAATCTAAATGCACTAACAAAATCTATATATACAAAGCACAAAATCTGTGTGTTTGTCTGTTATCCAACCACATCCACCCCCATTATTTCTGCTATTGAGCATTTACTATCTTTGATGCAAGTTAACATTAATTACATTCGTAGATGACACCACATCCTTACACTAAAAACAAAAACTTTTATTAAATTTTCTATAACACAACATACACACACATTGTGGGGGAGGGCACAAAAACATGTATATATCTCAGAAAGTGCACTAGCACTCTCTATGGAGGAATGCAATGAAAAAAAATGGCAGACACTATTGCAATACTACATAAATTCAGCTGAAGTTTCCAGCCCAACAGCTGCCATAAGGCTGATATGAAGAGCTGTTTCTTGAGTTACACTCACTTCCTTCTTTGACCCATGACCTTTCAACTTTAGCCCATAAGACACTTTTGTGGCTAATGACAGTCAATTAATTAATAACATGAAATACTAAGGAAGGAAATTAAGAGCTGGGTATTGAAGGTGAGTAACAGAAAGCACCCCTACTGCCACTACTTTGGCCACTTTCTCTTTCTACAAAGTCACCCTAACCATCACAAAATGTATACCATGTTTTAAGTATATACACAGTGAATTCATAGAGCTTATATAAAACTTTTGGTGAGGTAATAATGAATACTGTAATAATATGTTATAAATAAATTGTGTGAAAGTTAAGATTTTTATGTTATTTATCATATCATCCATCCCCCACATTTTTTTAAATTCATAACCCAGACAAAGGATGGGTACCTCAACTTGTACTTTATATTATCTGGTAGATTTTTAAAAGTGAAAAATGTTATTTTTCTTTATTAAAGATTGTTACACTTATGCATTGATCTAATAGAATACTTACTTTAAAATTTAAATCCATCACTACTTGGCACATCATGAACAACTTACTTGCTTCTCAAAATAAAGAAAAATTTATGATGTTTTTTCCCTCTTAAAATCAATTAAATAATATCTAAACATCTGTAAAAAATCCTCTTAAGAAATTAACAAGACTTAAATAACAATGAACTCAATATTCTAGATGTTTAGTTTCTTTACAAGCTTTAAAATTTTTTTCATAACACTGTAAACACAATTCTAAATTTAATTTTAACCTTATAAAAATATTATCAATTACACTAACCTCGTGCCTTCTGCATAATAATGACGATAGGATTCTGAGTTACAGGTAACCTACAAACTCCTTCCACTTGAGAATGTGATGAAGCTTTCATGCTTGGTTGTAAAACAGAACTTGAAGATTGTCCACGTTTTGTTTCTTTTGATTGTATGTTGTTTAGAACACTTTTATGCTGCGACCGGTTAGAAGATACGCCGGTTGATGAGAGTATAGAAGGATCTGATGGTGCGTTTGATATTTTCCAAGTGTCATAACCATGACATTGACAGTGCCCATTTGGGTGTTTCTTAAAATATATTAAAGCAACATGAAGTATATTTATACTTCACAAAAACTAATTAAAGAAGGCTAAACATGCATTACACTGTACAGCTTTATAATATAAGTGACAACACTGAGTCTATATGCAATCTACATATACCGATACATTAGTACCAACAAATGTTTAAATTAATTTATATTTTATAGCCTAGTCCTTGTAATACTAATACAGATTTAGCATTGCTATCTACTGAAGAAAACTGTTAAATTTAATGCAGGTATAGCAATTTGTACCTTTTTAACCTTTAAGAAACAAGTGAAAGACTCGAAATAAAAGCACTTACAAACGACATACTTGATTATTAACCATTCGAATTCATCAACTCCTGTAAGTGTTCAGAGATCTTGATTTTCAGCAAAATTTAAACAGTAGCAGTAGAAAAGTTCCAAACAACCACATCACGTGTCAAAACATAACGTGACTCAAATTACGCCGTCTACAAATTTTAAATATATTCACATAATTACCACACGATTTTTTCCTAATCGAACAGTAAACCATATAAGCCATGAATATATATATATAGCAAACCTTATTTTCATCATTTTCTACTATTACTCCATCTGTGTTCATTTTCATGTTTTTGAAGTGTGTATTTTCGTCTGGCCCATTCCCAATTGACTGTCTTACTGTCGAAACGTCCTTGAACTTAGACTTCTCATCTTCGCGTCTCAATTCCTGACTTTTCGTTTCCGAGGAAGCACAAGAAATTGGCTGTCCAGGCGTCCATACTTTTCAGAAGAAGAGATATAATTATTCTTAAATATTTATATACTTCACTCTGAATCAAACATAACAATATAATTTAATGCCATTGCTTATGCAAAGTTTATGCACATTTCTAGATAATTAAATTTAGGTAAGTTGGACGAATTTAAAGCTTTAGACAAACAATTTTCTAAACTAACAAATTTTAGCTAATTCATTTGATTAATATCCCCTTTAAATGTTTTAATATTTCGTAGTGACAGGTGGTAACTTTAAATTTTCAAACCTATTAAATTTCTAACCATTTTATTTAATTAATTTCTTATCAATATATTCTCTAATTGGTAAAACTTCTGAACTATACACAATACATACATAATTACACATACGTACATATTCATATTGAAATATGTCACAATAAGGCTGATGATAATTTTTACACATCTTTCTTTACTGGTCCCATAACTATAGGTTTACCAGTAAAAGATGCTATTATGTTCTTACTGGTAAACCTGTAAGAGAGAGGCAGTAAAGAAATATTTGTAAAAAAAAAAACATTATCAGTCTTATCTATGCAATATCACATAAAATACCGATTAGCGGACTTCACTAGGAGAATGTGTTATATACCATAATAATAATATATATATACATATATATATTGTAACATTTAAGTGACTTATATTATAGTTAAGTAAGAAAGTTAACACAGTGAATCTAATGTTTAAGTAGTATAACAACGACAAAAACCGAATACACTTTACACAGAATCGGCATAAAGATGATAAATACAAGTATTTTTTCGTTTGTTTCGGATATTCGCACAAAAATTATAATGGGGCTATATGCGTTAATTGTAATCGAATGGTGGGATTTGATCGCCAGTCTCAAGGCTCCAAGGTGTGGAGCACGATTTTTTTTTGCGGTAGCGAGACTCGAATAGTGGATCTTTGGATCTACAAATCGGTACCCTAACTACAGATAATACATTTGTTTACTGTAACTTCAGGTAGTAGCACTTCTACAAGGCTGTACTTTTAGAAGCAAGATTAATGAGCATGTTACTATATAGTTGTTTGTCTTTAGAGCAAAGCTATATTGGGCTAATTGCTATGTCGAACTCCGGATTTTAGCTTTGTAAATCTGTAAACGTACCGATGACCTATCGGTGAACGTTGCTATGTTTATTTATTTTTTAAAATCAGTTTGTCCGAATCATTGCTTGCACGACTTTTGTAACTGAAAGATAAAATGACAATGTTATTTACAGGTAAGTGTAACCTGTACATGAACACTACTCACTGTCAGATTGTCAAACAGCCGTACTCCCATGTACTAGGCTGAGATGTTTATTTAATATCTAATATAAAATTCACAATTGAAGACGGAAAAATGCAACCATAAACGTCCTACATGCAAATATCGAATGGCTTCACAACTCAGAATTATATATGAACAACACGTGCAACGGAATATACATCGAGTAGCAATTAGCACAATACACCAGTAAAAAGATGTGTACATTAAAGGTTTATTCAACATCATTTTCCATCTTTGTTCACTCGAAGAAACAGAAGATGAAATAAATGACATTTCAACTTACTCTAAAAGTATGAATAGTTTTCCAGAAAAAGTCATTAATAAATCGCTGAAAGATATGAGACAAAAGATATTTCTTACCAACAAGATGCGTAAGATACAAGAGAATGATGAAAAATAGCGAAAAAAGTTAACTAAGTCATAGGAATTATACCATACATAGGAAAAAAGGGAGAACAGCTTATAAGAATATAAAAACACACACACACACACACAACAACTTATAGAAAATCTGAATTAAAAGGAATTAGTAAACAAACCTGACACTAGTGGATCTATCTATCAGATTAAATATGAAAATTGTGAATCTACTAAAATATATTGGTAGAAATTTTAAAACGAGATTTAATGAACACCTAAAAGGACCACCACATGTAAATGAATACGTAAAAGACGCTAGCTATTTAAATAAATTTCGAAAACAAAGACAAGACGTAGATAAAAGAAAAAAAATTATGAGTTATTATTGGTAAAAATACACAATTTAACATAAATAATTATATCGGATATCCTCTTAACCTTTACTGAGTGCCCTCTATCATAAACGTGACTTCTATTTAAGCAATTGAAAATATTGCATACGTTCTCTCTCTCTTTATTTTAGTTTTACCAACTGAGGAAAGTGTGCCGAAAAAGTGAAATTTCTTTGCAAAGGGTTTCTTTACAGCTTCCCGAGAGAATCTGAAAATTTTTGATAAGTACAAGCACGTAGTTATGAGTTGTAAGAAATCGGTGAGCCATTGCAAAACACACTTCTGAGAGGTATAAGAAATCAGTCAGTAATATGGCACAATCATGTAGCTGAATTGTTATTACTGGGTGAGCATTTGAGTCGATGTGACTAAGCCATTGGTCAACAATGTTGTAACCATTTGTAACTTTGTTATTAAAAGTGCGATGCAATATTTATATTTATTACTAAAAATAGGAACATGAAAGCATATAAAACCTTGCTGCCAGCAGAGGGGAGCATAAAATAATGTATAACATTGGGAGTTTAACAGTTTACTTGAAAGCTGAGGAAACTATTTGGGGCACATAAAAGTTAAAATTGCAATTATACAAGACCAGAACTAGTTGTTAATTGTTATTAATTAGTTAGCGAATGTGTTACTTGGTCAATGAAATCACTCTTATAAATTTTGAGTGATTTGAGAGAGATACTGGATAAATCAGCAAGTGACTGTTTATTAATTATTTTAAAGTTAGGCTTACCGTTGGTTCGTAAAGCAGTTTTAAGTTGACGAAACACAACACTTTAGTTATATTTATGTAGACAGGAATCTGCATTATTTTTACTGAATAATCCGAAAGAACTCGCCCAACGTTAAAAACTGCTAGAACAATAAAGTAAATTATAAATCAAAGTAATAATAAAATACTTGACTAAATAAATGACCCAATTAAAGTGGAGAATTTTTTATTATCAAATCTCACACTAAGTGAAGAACTCAAATAAAAACAGACAACTCTTATTATCAAATTACAGACTAAATGAGTGACCCTAATGAATATGGGCAAATTTGAGTATCAAATCCCAAATTAAATGACGAATTCGAGTAAAACTGATTTTTTTTATCATCAAATCCAAGACTAATTGGGGGATTCAATCAAAATTTAAAAACAAATAATAAAATAAACGGATAAACCTTTGATATGATTATTGGATATGACCTAGATGATGGAGGTGCTTATTTGATAAATCGTATCAGATTAACGCATCTGTTTCCTAGATCACTGGTATGGCTGTATGGTATATGGCTGTATGGTATATGGCTGTATGGTATATTATTGGATATGCCCTAGATGATGGAGGTGCTTATTTGATAAATCGTATCAGATTAATGCATCTGTTTCCTAGATCACTGGTATGGCTGTATGGTATATTGAAACTTATTGACATGCATATCTGATATATCCGTATCCAATATAACATTATTGATATGGTATTTGATATACCTAACTGGTTGATATATCTGTTCGCTATGTCCTAGTTGATTTGTATCGCTGCTTGATATATCTGAGCTGATTAACATGCATGTTCGATAAATTCTAAGTGACTGATAAAGTTGTTGACAATATCATATTGTAATATGATGTTAACATACGTTGATTGGTGGATATATCCGTTTCATATAACTTGGCTGATGATATGCTGATTTGGTATATCTTGACAGAATAATATGCCTCTTTGATATATTCTAGCTGATTAATATGTATATTTTATGTAATTTGCCTGACTGATAATTCCCGTTTTATATATACTTACTTGATATATCCCAACTGGTTGATATATTTGGTCAGTATATCCTGACTGAATAATATATTTGGTCACTAAATCCTAACTGATTGATATATTTGGTCACTAAATCCTAACTGATTGATATATTTGGTCACTATATACTAACTGATTGATATATGTTTCATATATCCTAACTCACTGAAATGCCTATTTTGTAATTCCTAAATGGATTGCTTATGTGATAAAACTTAGCTGACTGATATAGCTGTTTGATATATCCTAAATGGTTGATATGCTTATTTAATAAATCTTAACTGAATGATATGCTCATTTGATATATCCTGGTTGAATTATATGCATCTTTGACATATCCAAACTGTTACTATGACTGCTGGATATATTCTTACTAACTGATATGATTATTTGATACATCCTAACTGGATGTAACGTTTGAGATATCGTAAATAACTAATATACTTATTTGGTGTATCCTCACTGATTGATATGCTTGATTTATATACCGTAAAAGGTTGAATATGCTTAGTTGATATATCCTAACTGACTAATTTGCCTTTGTGATATATCTTTCCTGATTGGCTTATTTCATAGACATCGTCACAGATTTATGGGCTTCTTCGCTACTTCTTAGCTGTTCCATATATTACAACTGAATGATATGCTTATTCAATATATCCTAGTGGACTGATATGCACATTTCATATGATTTACCTGACTGACCGTTCTCGTTTTATATATACTTACTTGGAATATTCCTTGTAGTGTGGAAACAGAAATATATCTTGATCAGAAGAACATTGTTAATTTTGTATGAAGCTACAATTTTAGTTTTAAGACAGAAGAAGAGGAGATATCTAATGAACGAATTTTTTTAGGAAAATATTTTGTGTCATTATACTGTGTTATTATTACTGTTCAGCATTAGATTCCTTTAAAAGCGGTTTCAGATTTGTTTAGTTACTTCTAATTGTTCATTTGCATATACCTAAGGTCAAGGAGTAATAAAGAAAAGTTCCATTGGTTTATTGACTTGCCTACTGTATAAATCGTAACTGTTCCATATATTCCAACTGAATGATATGATTATTCGATATATCCTAGTGGATCGATAAAGTTCTTTGATATGCCATAGTTCATTAACAGATACCTCTGGAAAAAAATGGGAACGTCTCGTCTTGTAGATCTGATGAAATCTTGTTCAGTTGATTTTGTGCGCGTAAATAACCAATACATTCCCTGCTTCCATTGTAATGTGCGTAGTGTCACGAACAAGATTATTACAAGTCGTTCTGTGGCGAAAATTATCTGAAACGAATAACAGTTTGAATAACTTTTAAAGTACGATATTTGAAGGGATATTATCATCATATCTTGCTTCGATTTCTATAGTGGGCGACAAAGTAATCTCCGTAGCCAGAAAACAATTTGTTCTGCCTTCGTTTCAGAATTTCACGCAAAGTTGCAAGAGTATTATTTGCGCATCTTTACTAGATGAAGGCAGTTACTCACCACCTGATTTTGGGCTACTCTTGTCTGATCAAATAGTGGATTTCATCGTCATTTGTACATCGTACCCACGGCCCTAAAGTACAAGTACGTTTTGCAACAAAGTGCCGTGAACCATAAATCCTAGTTCATGCCTGGCCCCATTTTTTGCTGATTAGTTACTATTGTACGTGTAGTGAAGAAACAGAAATAGAAAATATATCTCGATCAAAAAAAAAAAACAATTATAATTTTGTATGTAGTTGTTATTTTTGTTTTAAGACAGAAGAAGAAAAGATATTCAATAAAATATCTTTTTAAAGGAAAAATGCTTAGTGTCTTTCCCGTGTTATCAAGTATAAAAATCGGGGTACAGGCGTTCTTCACATATGTGCTATACGTATTAAGCCATACCAGTGCGGTAAGTATCTAATACCAAGGAATACTTTCTGTCTGTCTGTGGACACCTCTCCCCTAAACGAGTTGACCGATCCAGACCAAACTTGGCAAGCTAACTTAGTAGTCCAAGGGAAACCCAAATTCATGCTAAACATTCCCATATATTGAATAATATAAACATTTTATAGAATAACCCATTAATCTTTACTGCAGTAGCTTTTGTAAATAGTTGAATTTGAACAAAATTCTACAAGTCAATAATTGTAATTAAAATGTTCAGCATTTTGTCTTATTTCCCATAATAACCAAAATATACAGTGAAAAAAAAACCCAGCTACAATGCTAAGAATACAAATATTGCTGCTGTTTGAATTTCCCTCTCTTTTCTGATTCAATTGAATTCCCGGTTTATACTAGGATTAGAACAAGCGCTTAAACCTAAAGTAGAGAAATATTTTATAATTTAAATATTTTTAGAATATTTCATAATTCTTGATGTAGAATATAGTTTTCCGTAGAAGGAAAATTCAAGATTATTATCAAATTTTATGCATTAAATGTACCAAATTCAGGCAGTAGAAACCTTGACCACAACTCCACTGTGAAATGGGCTACTTTGAACAAGAAGTGACGCAACTGCTTTGCTATTTCTGCCAAGTTTTTCGACTCAACTTCTACACCTCCTCACTTCCGGTCCACTTCCTCTGTCTTAAAACACCACTACTGAAAATTCTCGCAGAGAATTTGCTCATTGTTTAGCCAATTTGTGCGTGTTTTCCACGCTTTCAAGAGAAAAAAGACGGAGAATTGCAGTCTTCTTTAAAATAACCAGCAAACTTTTAAGGTAAGACATTTAAAGTAGATTACAAGAGCTTCAAAAAGAAAGCCCATTATGGACTGAGAGTTCACTTTTACTTGTACACTTTCACCGGATCTGTCGGAATTTGAGCAAGGACAGAGCTGGGTATGCAAGTTGCCGCTCAAAAAATTAGTAAAAATGCACATCTACGTAATTGTTGCTGCTGTGGCAGAAAGAAAACCGAAAGCATTTTTTATGACAAAAAAGGGATGCAAGCAAAAGTTTTCGTTGTTCTTACGGTGTTCTTAATAAGTCAAAGTACGCTAGCTCTTTCAAGATCATTCAATTGTCACTTGAGAAGAGATGACGAATAAAAACATCTACGTTACTGAGTACTTTTTCGAGGTACATTCTGGAACACATGATGGACATTTTCAAGAGCTCTTGATTATAAGCAAGTTAACTATGGTCACCAGACCATGAATAACCCCAAAAGTAAAATAATAGAGACAACGCTGTATAAACTATTAACCAAAAAAACAGCATGCTGTAAACCAATGAACCAGAAAACCGAAACCTAAAATAGTTATCATGCATTGATTTCTCATTCGGATATCTTCGCTGTTAATGATATGCTGGGCTGTGATAGAAATGATTAATATGAGTTTAGACCAGTTTGTTGTTTGTAGTTAAGCACAAAGCTACACAGTGGGCTATCTGTGCTCTGCCCACCCCGGGTATCGAAACCCGGTTTCTAGGGTTGTAAGTCCGCAGACGTACCGCTGTGCCACTAGGGGGGGG